TCAGACTTGTCCCTCATGATTATAAAGTGGCTGCAACAGCTCCAGGCATTCAACAACAAGACCCAAAATTCAGAAGGAAAGAAGGAAAGGGGCATTTTGAAGAGTGAAAAAAATGTTCCCGGAAACCCTAGACCTCCCCCTCGTGCCTCGTTGGCCAGAACTGCATCACACGGCTTTGTGAACCAGTCGTTAGCAACGTGAGTGGAACTGACATGACTGGATGACCGACACCAGGAAGATTTCCCGCCTCTTTTGAAGATCCTGACTACCCATGGCAATTGGTACCAATAGAATCAGTGGGGAGCAGGCATCCAGAAGCGTCTGCACTGTAACTTTTGTCAGAGCTTCTCATTCTATATATTTTTGCCTCTTTACCTGACAGGATACCTAGCCGTCTTGCCCAAAACAAATCTTGCTTTCTGGTTTCTGTACAGTAGATAAATGAACTCTGCAAATGTCACACACATACCAGTCACTGTTGAGGTGTCCAACTGAAGGATCTCCAGCCTGACAAAGTGGAGCATTTTGTGCTCTGACAGTCCAGCATCTTATATCAGGCTCCATACCACCTTCTGCCAAGAATGAGCCATCAGATCTTCTTGCTTCGGCTACGCTACCAGTTCACTGGAATCAGTGGTGTACCAAGGTCAGGGTGGTGGGAGCAGCCAGCCCTGGGGGCAGGCACAAAGGGGTTGCATGATCTATAAAGAATTTTAAAACAATGATAAACCTCTAAAGGCAATGTGGTGTCCTGGGTTGAACCCTGGAACAGAAAAAGGACGTTAGTGAAAACATCGCTGAAATCCAAACAAAGTCTGTAGTTTGGTTAATAGTACTGTACCAGTGTTAATTTCTGTGTTTTGAAAAAATGTGCCATGGTTATATAAGCTGGGTGAAAGGTTTGTGAGGACTGTCTGTAATACTTTCGCAACTCTCCTGTAAGTCTAAAACTGTTTCAAAATTTACAAAAAAATTTTTAATGACAAACATGATTAAAAAGTGGTATGTTTTTAAATTATCACCAGGGCAATTCTAAGCGATATTAGAGGTAAAAATACTCCTCCTCCCCCAGACCTTTTGGTTTAAGTTCTAAACAAGTGTTGTCATTGCTGTTGAGTTTTAATAATATATGTAAGTTTCAACTTGGCACATTCTTATTATTTATCTTTCAAGAAACATTGCATCCTATGTGGACGTTAACCTCGTAAGTCTCATGTGTATGGTCGACCCCTCGTATATGGGTTCTCAGATGCACACATTTGTTTTGAATAAGTTCATACCCAATTGGAATTACCCCAGCTTGTTTCCAGCCCGGACAGCTTGTTTCCAGGTCCCCGGCCCTCCGGTTTGACAGAAGCTGGTGTTTGAAACCGCAAATCAGAAACAAACAGTGACAACGCAGCAATTTTATAGATGAAGAAACAGAACTTGGCGCTTTAATTCTGTCGTTCTGTGTGAGCACGTGCAGCTCTTACTTGTGTTCAGCGTTTCAAACAGTGACACGAAGTACCAAGTGCTATTACTATTATTTGTCTCATGTCATGTGTCGTGATTATTTCTGGATTTTTTTTTTTTCAAGTAGAAGAGCAGGATGTTAAAAATAATCGGCCCCGGAGGGGAAAGTATAGCTCAAGTGGTAGAGCGCATGCTTAGCATGCACAAGGTCCTGGGTTCAATCCCCAGTGCCTCCTCTAAAAATAAATAAATAAACCTAAGGCCCTCCCTCCACAAAAAAAAGTGAAATTAAAATAAGAAATAATAACCAGCTCCAGTTATTTAAACATGCTAAATACAGATAAGAGCGAGTGGAATTAAGATTCCAGGTGTTAGAAACTAGCTCAAAGATCCTCCCTGCTCCTTTCAGAGACAGAGAGGAAGGCCTGTGAACTGGAGGCAGTTCGTAAGAATTTGGTGATTCAGGGTGAGGATGAGGCCTCCCTCCTGGCCCAGCGCTCCCAGTGCTGTCTGCCTGCAGCCCATGCTCCTTCTCCTTTGGCGGACAGACAATAAGTCAGGTCAGCGAGTGACTCAGTGGCAGAGTAAGAGATGGGAACCAGGGCTCCTGACAGCTCAGGGCTCTCACCACTGCCCCTGTTTCCCCTTTCCAGGTCTTATTCAGCCGGAGACAGGCTGGAGGACTAAGGAACATGCCGCCTGACCTTCAGAAGGGAAGAGGGGGCCATTTTTTAAAAAAGACATAACTCAAATTAACGTTAGAAATGAGTATATTCCTCTATTTAAAATACATACATACTAA